CGAAACCGGTTTGGCTCAGTGGATAGAGCGTCGGCCTGTGGACCGAAAGGTCCCAGGTTCGATTCCGGTCAAGGGCATGTACCCGGGTTGTGGGCACATCCCCAGTGGGGGGCGTGCAGGAGGCAGCCGACCGATGTTTCTCTCTCATCGATGTTTCTAGCTCTCTATCTCTCTCCCTTCCTCTCTGTAAAAAATCAACAAAATATATTTCAAAAAAAAGAAAAAGACAACCGTGTCCTCAGCTGCCAGCCCTCTCCACATGCGCCTCTGTACCTCTGTATTTTACTTCCGCACCGCATCTCCTCTGAGTCTTGGTATGCTTTTCTCTTTCCTTCTAGTTGTAGAATTTCCACTCAGCCAGCCTTCCTGAGGTTCTGGATGATGTCCATTCCGTCTTTTAGTTGTATTTTTGAAGTGGTTGTGCAAGGTAGCAATCTCCGGTGTTTACCTATGCCGCCATCTTGGTTTCTCCTGTGAGGTAGGTATTATTAACTCTACTAGAGGCCTGTTGCACAAAAAGATTCGTGCAATAGGCCTTCCCTTCCCCTCGCTGCCGACACCGGTTTTCCTCCAGCACCCGGGACCCAGGCCTTCGCTCTGGCCAGAGCTGCCTTCAGTCTTCGCTCCGCCGCTTCGCGCCTATGTATGCAAATTAACCGCCACCTTTGTTGGCAGTTAATTTGCATAGCTCACTGATTAGCCAATGGGAGGCATAGCGAAGGTACGGTCAATTACCATGTTTGTCTATTATTAGATAGGATTTTTGTCTGAGAGGCTGAGTAACTTGCCCAAGATTTCACTTGTGCCAGGAGGACTTTCCAGAATTCAGAACCAGGTACAGCTGGCACCAAAACCCCTGCTCCTCCCCGGCACCTGCTGCCTCAGTTGTAGGACAAACATATATTTTGACTCTGGGCAGTCCATTCGTGAGTTCTGTACTTGTATGTATAGAGATAAAACAACAAAAAAGGAACACACCAAGAATCCTACCTTTGTATCTTAATCTAAGTAGAACTTCTGTATTTGAGGAAGGAAAGGCCAGGCTAAATGCCCCTATCAGAGATTCAAGCTGAGGGTTCTTCAAACACCACACCTATGTGGATGTTGAATCTGGAAGTATTAGGAGAAGAACGCATTGGGTGGGGCTGCCACGAGATTCCACAGGGAGGGTCAGTATCCGCCGGGGGAGCCCGAAGCCAAGCAGATGGCTGAATCCAAGCAGGTGGCTGAATCAACAAATCCGTGTGAATCTGGCTGCTGGGAAGCATTTCACATCATCCGTGATGGTCAGAGCCAAATTCACTAGATTTCAGTGAAAACTACGCACAGAAAATGCAGAGAATTCATGATGGAATGTCTGATGAGGAGACTCAAGTGTAAACCTCTACGTGCTTGGTGTCTAGGGATCAGTGAGAAGATGTAAGGATCCGGGTATTTTATTTTTATTTATTTTAAAATATATTTTTGATAATTTCAGAGAGGAAGGGAGAGGGAGAAAGAGATAGAAACATCAATGATGAGAATGCCCCCTACTGGGGATCAATCCCACAACCTGGGCATGTGCCCTGACCAGGAATTGAAACGTGACCTCCTGGTTCATGGGTTGATGCTCAACCACTGAGCAACACTGGCCGGGCAGGATCTGGGTATTTTAGATCTGTTTAGTCCGTGGCCGGTTTGTGGCCTTATGTTTAGAGTAACATTTCATAACTGGCGCCTGGATTGCAGGAAGACAGAAAAACAGTACAGCCATTGCGTGTGACTAGTTATAAAACTTAGCTGGTGCTTTTTAAAAATAGGTCCAACCAAATTAGCTCTGGGCACCTGCTGGAGCTTAGTGTGTTTTCAGATAGACTTGTTTGCTATCAGCCAACAAACAAACAAAAAAAACCCTAATGCAACAAACCCTCCACCCACATGGTTTGTTATAAAACCTGACACTCCTGATGCTTTTCCAAGCCACATCTCTCCGATCAAATCATTCGAACAAGGAAAAAAGACATTGGACGCCTTGAAAGAGGAGGGCAAATTAATATTGCTAGACTCATCTCAGGAAAGCTCGGGGGAGAAGAAAGGTGGAGATGGTGGATAATGTGGGATGTTAAGCACATTGTGAAAGTGTTTCCAATTCCTTATGCAAATGTGTTTCAACACTGATGTTATAACATGGCTGGAATTTTGGGATTTATAGCTTTACTGGAAGGGCCCCTTAAACATATGTGGACAGCTGTCTCAAGAGATTTGGACTTTTATTTCTTTACTAGAGTCCTGGTGCATGAAAATTCGTGCACTCAGGCAAGTCTCTCAGCTCAGCCTGCACGCTCTCACAATCCGGGACCCCTCGGGTAGGGTCCAGTCCCATTGCAGCATGGCTCTGGTTCCCCGGGTCTGTGGGTGGGGGTGGGGGCAGGGACCAAGAGGCCAGTCTGATGGCAGCATGGCTCCATTCCCAGAGCTCCCTGCTGCCACTGCGCCACGGGCGGCCGGGGCCCACAGCTCCCTCTCAGGACTGACTCCTGCCGCAGGCCGACGGAACCCAGGACCGACTCCCGCCATGGGCAGCCTGGATCCAAGACCCACTTCTGCCACATTGCCAGCATCCAGGACCGACTCCCGCTGCGGGCCGCCAGGACCCAGGACTGACTTCTGCCGCACCAACCGGGACCCCAGCCTGGTGTTCGGTCATCCGTCTGGACATTTTGGTCATGATGAACCCTGGCTCTTTATATATTAGGATTTGACAGAAGAGCTATAGATGTCTAAGTGAACAATGGCAATAATTACAGCAACAAAAATGTCAGAAATCATTTTATGGAGAT